GTTACGCGAATATTGCCACATTTATCAGAATATGGGTTGCATTGACGTTTTACTTTTTAGGACGATTTTTTTTCTTTCGAAAAGTTTCGCGTATGTGATGGTTGTGTCCGTGCGCCTGTCTGTTTCTTGGCTAACTCGAGCTCCGAAAAGAGACAGCGATGACAAACCTTCATCAATCGATTTCTACGAGTTCAAGGCGCTACTAAATATGAGCCGGATTAAAAGTCGTGTTTCCAATTGCGAGCTGATTTAATTAGACACGTGCACAAACGACCTACTGCGCGGTGATTATTTGCGGAGCAATCCTTATGAAATTTTAGTAGCAGCCTGCCTCTGCAGAAGGTCTTAAGTTGTACTCAGGTATTTACCTTACGAATTAGGAAAACTGCAGGAAAACCTAATACGAAGTAGCCGGCAGAATGCTCGAAACTGCTCTGCTCATCTTTGTCACAGATGAAAAATTCACCTCAACCCAGGTTCGAACGCCCGACCGCCGGATTTATAGCCCAACGCTCTACCACTGAACCATAAAGCCGGTTAATAATGATAATTGACGAAGAAACGTTCCTGTCAGTGTAGTCAAAACTTCAAATGCGAATATCTTGAGAACGAAGTGTTGGAAGTTCGTACTCCAGGAAAAGCGATAGGTTTCCCTGAGACGCATCCAACGGTACAACATTCGACCTAATCGTATCACTAGCAATGAAGATATAATGTATTTTCCATATATATTTAGTTTGTTCTTTTTGCGCATGCACAGACTGTGTAATGTTAATTTGCCTCTAAACATTTTTGGAAACGTTAACCGCAGATGCTTCTAATAAAAGCAAACGTAGTACCCATGTTGAAACGTAAGCATCGGCCGTGTGACGTGAGTTTCAACGGCCTGCGTTTTTGAAAACTCTGCAGAATAAACGGCCAGCTAGCTGAAGGATGGTAGACTAAAAAGCACAGCATGAAATACTTCCTTTTTTGTAGCTTAACCTAAAAGCCGCTTTACATTAGGCAATTTTCGTGCAATGCAAGAGCAATGCAAGTTAGAGATACGTTACTGCGCATGTTCATACGCAATTCAGGTGCAAGAAAAATAAATAGAGAAAGTTCTATTTCACTTGCAAGTTTGGCGCAAGTTCTAGTAACTTTTCTAGTAATTTTGTCAATACCACAATTTATTTGGTTTCGCGTGTGTTATTTTTAATAACCTAACAACTTTATTTATTCGTTAAGTAACAAATGTAACTTGTAATTTTGTTACAATGGCTAATAACAACAGGTATGTGTATTTATATCTATTTGATGGTGGAAAAGTTTCAATTTTTGAAAAATATGTTGTCAGTACTGCAACACTTTTCTGAACTTGCACAAAAGTTGCAACACAATTGCATAAATGTAAAACCGTAATAAGCAATGCAAGGCAATTTTAGATTGCATAGCACAAGCCTTGCATTGCACTAAAATTGCCTAATGTAAAGCGGCTTTAAAGCGCTGCCCCAGTTTCCAATTTAACTCTCCCTGTATAAAACTGAGAAGATTGAAGAAGGAAATCCTGATTTACATACGTTTCCTTAACAACCAACAACCATCAAACTTTATTTAAATCAGAGACTTGCTATAACTAGACTGCGCTTAACGTATCTAAGGTGTTGTCGACACAGTATGCAACACACAATGCACCGCGGGGCAAAAATCGCTGAGATGATATGCAATATAATGAAATAAGCTGTTATTTTAGATGTTCCATTCATTAATCATTCTCGTGATTAGCTCGAATTAGTGAACAGATAAATTTCTGTTGAGAATAAACCAATAAACTTAGGTTAACTTGTGCCTATCAACATGTACTCTGTCGATAAATTTTTAAATAATATGCTGATTTTCAACGGATAAAAGTTTAAAGGGCCAATGGATCAGAGCCATTCGAAGGGAAAAATTTACTCCCACCATAGTGCATTTGTTGGGAATGAAGCCGATTTTAGAACGGTACCTACGAAGGTGTTAAACGATAATGCAATACCGAGCATTTTCGACTTTCCCATTCACTTAAAATAACGTAGAACTATTATTCGACATCGTTTACCAGCAAGACAACGGCAATACCTATTTGCCTATTAGCTATAGACGTAACTAAGTACTTACTGGTACTAAGTACAGTGCGATCAATAATGAGTTGCTGCGCCGCTTCAATAAATTATGACGTTAGTAATCATTTGCCGCAACAGGCGTGGTGCACCAATACTAAAACATAACCTTAAACTTCAAACCAAAGTAAACTTTTGACGTTTAACCATATTTAATCGAAATCAACGATTTAAGCACGTTGTGAGTTTCCAAATTATGTGAAACTACTCAAATAGCAAATTACTACAAAAATTGAAACGATTTTATTTCTTTTACAACTCGTGAATATTGAAGTAATTGCGTAAATTACATGCACATTATAACAACTGTTCCAAGTGCTCGCCACCATTATTAAGACAGGGATCCACTCTTTTCTTCATGTTTTCGAAGACGAAATGTAACTACAGTTGCGTAATGTTTCAAACGGCAGCTTTTATACCTGCTCGTAATTCGGCAATGGTGTGTAAACGGTTCCGAATACGTTGCAATTTCGTAAATTTGCATTAAACCAATTGCATACAATAATTTAGACGGCTTTGTAAATCTGGACGATGAGTTCTTGTACCACGGTTACTTTAAAGGATAAAAGTACAATTTTCTCCAGACAGTAGTGCGACACGTTCCGTATGAGATCCGTTTGTCGTAGCGGCTTATTCAGAATTTGCTCAAAAGGTTTCTCGAAACTCCTGTATACACAAACGTATCGAGTACTGCCAAACTCAATTTTCGTCTTTAGTCCCATTACGGAAACAAGACTGCAAATCCATCTTATTCTCTTCTAAAGGCATGTCGGAGTAAACCTATTACCTTTTACACGCTACAACTAAAAAAATGTTTGTTTATAATTTATAAGTAATTTACCCACCTTGTAAATATTCGAAAGAAGCTGAGTCTTGAAAAAAAGCTGTTTTGAAATGGACGAAAGTAATAAGAAAAGAATCACAAATCGGAATTATAGGTTATGTTTTTGTTTTGTCTTGGTACACATATACCTGGTTGCGGCAAATGATTACTAATGTGATATTTTATAAGAGCGGCGCAGCATATGATTATTGATCTCCCTGTATATTTCAGGTTTTGTTACAAGAAAAATAGCTAAGTCTGTTAAATGTTCCATATGTGCAGATGCGATATTCGCATCAGAGAGTCATTCAAAGCTTTTAACTAGAAAAAATCGTGGAGGATTGTTGCACGTATCAATCGATGCATTAAAAATTTGCCAAATTGCTGAAAATGTGTTCAGGTTTTTCATTCAATCCACACCACACCGCGTTGTAAACAAAATGGTTATCAGCAGTCTAAGAAAAATAAATAACAGTTACAGCCCATTTGGGTTTTTGGATAGGCATATATTGAATCAAAATCCGCTAAATAATCATATCTTACTACTTACATCTTTAGTTTTAAGAGTATATTTTCCCATACGTGTTCACCACCAAAATACACATATAAATCAAATTAGGACTAGAATAAGGCAGTTTTATACCAATTTAGTTCAAATAAAATACCAATAAATTCGATTAAAACAGTTAACAGCTACTTATATGTTATCTTTTTTTGTTACTAAAATTTAGAATAAACATGGCTAAAGCAAGCTGCAGAACGTACGTCCGCCCCGCGATGAACAGTTGGTTGCCTATCCTATCTTGACAACAGGCGTTTATAGTAAAATACGTTAAGCGCGGTCTAGTTATAACAAGTCTCTGATTTAAATGAATTCAAATTAAATTTCCCCAATTACTACAAAGCTATCCCATATCAAAATTACTGCTGCAAATTTGAAATCCCCCCCCAAATAAATCAACGATATATTTAAATCGGTTCGACGTCAAATGGTAGACGCCTAAAACCATGCAGGAGATAACACAAAATGGCAGCCTACTTACGTATTACAAAAAATCCATCCATATAGCCTCCAACGAGAGCAAATGCGATTCCAACAATTTACTTCGAAATTACACAATAATATGCTAAACCACTAAATAAAAATAGCCAAGTGGATTCTTAATATATACGCTCATGTATACTTTTACATAAATTTTTAAAAAAAATCAGTATCAGAAGTTCACCTTCATTTCTCAACAAAACTTCCACGAGCAGGAAAATAGATTTGCTGAATCAACATGGCTATAATGGCGATGCATTCAAATTACTTTTTTTGTCCTCTATCTCATGCCGTAAAAATTCAATATGGCGTCCATAAGAAAAAAGCAATCAGTGCTATAGAAATTCTAACATATTCAGATTCTCAAAAAGGTAACATGATCCGTCTATTTCCGACCGTTTAAGCTAGGAAAAATGAAAAAGAATTTGATATTTCTAGTTTTGTTTTTCAGTGACATCTCTGTTTATTTCAAAAGCAAACATCCCATTTAACCTACACCGTATCTCTCACCGTTGCGGGGATCCCAATGGCGAGCCACGAATGTGACCCCCCTGTACATATTGACAATATACTAAAATGTGGTAGTTCCATAATATTTAACTGGTTGAAGATGGTAGGATTTTTTTATCGGTTGAGTTATTGAGTATGATTCCTCGCAAATGGTCGTGGTCTACAATGCTGTTTGCAGGTGAATAAATCGCTATGTGAATATAGCACTACCGCGTTATCCGCATAAATGTGTAATTTGTCCTTTTGTGCTGTAAGCACTAACAACGATATCTATTACTAACATAAAGTAGGAAGAGTAGTGGTCCTAAGTTGCTTCCTTGAAATACACCACTTTCAAAGAAAGAAAATTCAGAGAAGCGACACCGTTTAATTCTACGAAAAAGAAATCGCCTGTGTATTCTGTCAAAATTGTCATTAGGACCGTAATTAGACAACCGTCAATCTTGTAATGCGACATAAACCTCACGATGCGCATTTTTTGTTTCAGGATTATTACTCGGACCTGATTGCGAACGATTCGATAGCATTCCTCAGACAGTCAAAGAAAAATAGCGCTCACAAACCAGTTATGTTGACGATGTCTTTCCCGGCCCCACATGGACCGGAAGATTCGGCACCTCAATATTCTCATCTCTTCTTCAACGTTACCACGCACCAGTAAGTATCCGTTTTTTTTATAACAAGCCCATCCTGAATTGTAACGTGAGTTAGTTCATTTAAATTTAATAAATTGATATTAAGGTCGCGCACGTTTCAATTTTATTATGATTTACTGCGGCTAATTCTGGTTTGTTTTGTGTTCAATCGAGCGCTTTATTAGGGCAATTACTTGTTCTACCGAAAGTCGCCGATTACAGCCTTCAATTATAATGTAGTTGCGAGGCACAAGTTATGTACAGAAAAAGCATATTTTTTAGTACCAACCCAACAACAACCAGCCCATAGCATTCGTTTGCACTTTTTCGCTCAAGTTACACCAACGTCGCGTTATTTTACTATTGGAGCAGTAGTAGTCAGTACTTTAAGCAAAGAGTATATTGCTTTAAGTAGTTCAGTTCCAATTAAATAAATCGAATTAATCCAAATTAAATCAAACACCTCGACCACAAAAAATTGTAGTAGTTTGAGTAACAACGGTTTTTATGACTGTCATTGGCATTGGCAACCCATTGAATACATTCTATGTTAGAATTATTTAAAGCTTATTTTATCATAATGGTGGGTTCATACAATCTACTATCATTAGATCATTATAAAATAGCCAATAGAAACAAAGGTGTACTGTGCGTCGCTAACGAACGAAATCATACCTTTCTTTCTATTGGCTATTTCTTAATTCTTAATGTTCTAATGATAGTGAACTAATGATAATGATTGTATAAAATACGGTGGTTTCATGTTTTTTGCTTGATTAGCAAAGTAAGCGCGGACCATTGGCCGTCCATGGTTTCTTGTATGAGTGCTAGGTTTATGTCGTCCACAGGCACCTTTACACTACACAGAAGTAGGCATTTGTTTTCGAGAGGTTGCCGAACAATGGCGAAATATAACTTCAGTTATAGCCGTTATAGCATTGAATAAAAACCACATTTACTCAATGGTTATAGAGAAAACCTAAGAAGTGTATGGATGGAATGTTGATTTGGTTTAATTGCATTGCTATAGACATCCCATTATCTTAACAAGTTCCAAAAATTGGAAGTTATTAACTAATTAGCCAGATTTACAATACGCTTAATTACTTAAGTGTCACAAAAAGGCGAGATGTATCAATGATAATTTTTTTGCAAATTAAAGATAGAATAAAACGAACCGATGAGAAATTAATTAATTACCCAGACATCTTCAACTTCTGAAAATTCGTAGATCTCCGGATGTAGGTGCATTGTTGTCTAAGACACAAAGAGAATTCTGCTATTGTTTAATTTGATCGACAACAGTAATGAAGTCATTATGCCTGTCGGATTATAATCTTGCTAATGCATTGTAAAGTGTGGCGTAAAGCATCTTCAGGTATGATTCAGTGCATTTTATTCATACGATGTACCCGTCTAATTATAATTATTACACGTTTTGAATTCACGAAACGCATTCAGAATAATTAACGGGTTTGCGTTCACTTTAATTTCAGAGATAAATTCGAATAAATGGCTTTGATGTGCGTATCCAATGGACATTTATCAATTATCCTTAAACTGTTCTTTAAATTATCGGTCATGGGAAAGTTATAATCCGGCACGTATTCCCACCACCACCAAAATTGACAAGCAGAAGAAGAAAAATAAATGGCGGAACGAAAAAGTAGGTATTCCGCGGGCAGGACATTAATAGAACTTTAAACAATTTTTTACATTTATTTCGACAAACAATCGAGTCGATTTGGTGCGCGTACGCGATTAATTATTTAATTAATCTTTTTGGATTTTGTTTAGCCGCGAGTCATTTCTTTTTTGTGATTTAGTTAGCGTACCAAGAGTGCGGTCGTTTCCTCACATTGTATTGTATTGAAAAGTAACATTATTTTCTAAATACACTATAGTAGGTATATTGCAACAAATGGGAAAACCAATACGCAAAATTTAAAAAAAAGGTTTACCAATTCTTGTAATTATATTATACCTGCTATAGCGTTTATACCCGAAGAAACGCTGAGGAAAACACGTTAATGCGCGACGCCGTGCGATCTCACACGAATCCCCACCAGAAAATTTACATTTCAGCGTTGCCATTTTAGATAGTGTAAGGTAACCAACCATCCAAAGTGCCCAAATGGCAGTAAGCTTCCGATTCTCATTACTTTTGTCAGTGATCTTACATAACGTCTGATTCAGGATAAATGATTTCCACGTCATACTGAAGAGTACTTCAATTCTCTTATTAATAACGAGCGACAAAAAGCTACTTTATGATTTTGGACTTTCTGTCCGCCTGTTCTTACGAACGGTTCCGAATTTTCCTGTTCTGTTTTCTGTAATAGCACAGATTTAAATATACTAATTTAAATCTGTGGTAATAGGTAGACAATGGTCAAGGGACTATAAGTAGTTAAGTTTTTGTCAATACTCTTCAACCGGAAGTGACCTTGTCGCTCGTTGTCTATATTGGTGCAGTTTATTTGTTCAATGATGGAATGGAATTAGGATTACTGCAGTAAGGAAAGTGGCTCCTTTTTTTACATGTAGGAGTAGCAGAGATATAAAAAAATCAAAATTACATTATATGATATTGAATTGGGAGTCGGGATTTATCATCCAGAGGTGACTAAAACTGACTCACATCCAAATTACAGTGTCATTTTCAAAACAGTGATCGGGGGCATTACTTGTAACCTTCCGTTATGATTTACTTAGAATTAATTATCAACATTATGTCATAAGTGTAATTCGCAAATGTAGTTAAACTAGGCACAGTTATTTGTACAGTGTGAGCAACAATGATTGAAGCGTGCGTCATCACCGCTTGTTCCTATTAATATCAAAACTACCTTCTTTGTATGGAGTTGTATACGAAAATGACGTTCTGCGCTGTCAACGTATTTCGTATCTTGTATGATTCAATCTTTGTTGCTCACTCTGTATTACGGTGTAATGTGAATACTGCGCTTACACAAGATTTATTGACAGACCGGTTACGTAAGATCACACAGATCAGTTTAAATTTGCACAATAATACGACGAAAAAAGGTCAATTAAGAGAGAAAGTTCCAGTGCAACGTGCTTCGATGATCTCTGTTACCGGAGGACGTTGTGAACTGACTTTAGTTATGGATCCATGATGAATACCTATGTATACTTGAATCCGTGAATGCATAGGCTGGTGTTTAATTTTCCTATTTTCTGGCATTGGGAAACTTTTCCAGGGTTTCCGAAATGTAAGTGTAACTGTGGTTAGCCACCTTGCCGAAGGATTTAGTGGCAGTTTATCGGTTATTCTGGGCGCTCACAGGTAAATTCGTCGCCAGTCGCATGCATCCCTCACAGGACTCCTCGGAATTTTCGTTTCCTAGGAAAATTTGTCATGGGGTGAATATCAGCTCAGCAGGAGCTTATTCGCTCCAAAGGAAATTTACATTCGGGACAGATCGATCTCGAAGAATTGCCTGAAGCTACACATTATTTTAATATGCATTCACGTTAGGTTGTTTTTCAACAAAACCCATACCTTAATAACGATTTTAAGCAACTATCTTTGCGATTGGTTTCTAATTATAGAGGGTGTTACATGACCGTATGTTTAGGAGAATATAATGTGCGTGGAAGTTTTTCCGCTCCTAATACGAGGCTACCTGTTAGAAACATTGTAAAGGTTTTTGGGCTTCAACTCCCACATACTACACGACTACATCCTCTTGGGCACTTGAACTATTAAAGGTGGGAGATTGCCAATTTATAATTCGAGGAAGGCACGTTACTATAAAAAAGAGATACTATTTCAAACGGAACGGATATCGTCAGTCAAATTTGCATCCTAATCGGCATTTAATTGCTTAGCAACGGAGTGAATTTGGGATGTGTTTTGAAATGGCAAAAAGACTAAGATCTTATCGTGCATTTCGTTTTTTTACCATTGAAGGTTACCTACATGCTAGTCGAGCGAGGACCACCACAGATGCAGTCAATTTCAATTTTAATCCAGAGGCAATGGGGACGAAGACCTCGTATGCATATACGGTTATTATTAGGTTTATGGATCAATGTAATCTTTCCGAACTTCTTTTTCTTGTAATCTCGAACTTACTATGCAGATTATCGGGTATCGATAAATGCGATGTTTATGTTAATCTTACGGCGTGAAGATCATAATCTTGAAAAAAAAGTTAGGACATGTCGAACTAAGAAAACGGTGCTTTAAAATGAAGTACCTATCGGCATATTCTATACGTAGTGAGGTGGATAGGAATTAATGGGATTCGGTTAGGTGTAGGTATACCGTATAAGTTGTGTGAAGATAAATTATGCAAATAGAAATTGTTAATGATGACCGTATCATTCTCATGTAACATCAGACACAAGTAAACTTCTAAATATTGCTATTTAATATTAAATTGAATAGTGGCGTTGAATTTTTTTACCGATTTGTTAATTTGTGGATTATGCTCAAAAGTTCATCGTAAATTAGTTATAGGTATACATATTTTTTTATAACTTATTCCTCGATTTATTCATACTTGGAAATAGGAGTGTTCGATTTTCGGCGGGGAACTTTTAGATGCAATCATGCAAATTTAATTGCTAACATCATTTTTTATTACGTAATCGCTTTAGCTGCACCAGCATTTGGAGTCATCTATGACCTATTAATGGGTTATGTTGAAAAGCAAATCGTTGGGACGAAGATTTGAGTGAGGTAAGGCGTACGAGCGGTTTTGGATTTTCTACCCGAACGGGCTCTCGGATTCCAATTGGTTACAGACCGCGAAGCGGAGTTCCGAGTTCGGGCGCAATCTAACGAGTTTTAATTGTAATTGTATTTATTGTTCAACAGACAAATATTTCCAGTAACAGAACAATATAAAAATTTAGTATAAACTGCAGTGTAAGAAATATCAAAATATCACACAAGAGAAAAAAAAACATAATAAAATAATAGTATAAACCATTATAGAAAAAAAAAGAATGAAGAAACAGAATATGTGAATTAAATTAATAATTTGCAGA